CATGACTATGGCATCAGTCTTCGCGGGGTTCACTCTGATACCGATTGCTTCTAGTTCTTCTATGATGGTGGCTGAAGCTTTCTGTGCCAGAGTGAGCGCAGTCTTCGCATTGACGCTGGAGGCGTAGATGCCAATGTCGTCCGCGTACGCTGCTACCATCGCTCCTGGATGCTTGAGTGCCACTACTGGTGCCGTGAAGACGACGAACAGTATTGGCCCTAGCACAGACCCTTGAGGTACTCCACAGGTGGTATCGACTGGGGTTGAGTAGTCTGTAATAACACGTACGACGAGTGATCTTCTGCTGAGGTAGCTTTGGATCAATTGGCATAGTTTGGTAGGAAACCTGAACTCTTCCAGACGGCGGAGTAGATGCGTGTGGGAGACGCAGTCGAAGGCCTGGCTGCAGTCCAAGGAGATGAGCGCCGTAGCTCTGTTGAGACTCATCTCGTCTTATGTATGGGCCTGGAGTTTCGCTAAGTGGTGTTCACACGAGACTCCTTTCTGAAACCCAGTCTGCTCTGGTAGTATGATGCTCTCCTCCCAGCAGTGCGTCATCAGGTGGTGGTGAATTATCCTCTCAAATATCTTGCTAATGTGCGAGAGGAGGCTGATCGGACGATAATGCTCGGCTGAGTACCCGCTCTTCGCCGGCTTGAGTAACGGCACTACGATCGCTTGTTTCCATGCGGTTGGAAAGTATGAGATTCGAAGACAAGAATTAAAGATGTTCAGTAGGAAGGCTTTACCCTTTCTAGGGAGCATCTTCAGTGGTATGTACGGAATCTCATCCTGTCCAGACGCTTTGTTTCCTTTCGTACGACGTAGTGTCGATTCCAGCTGTTTGAAGGTAGAGAAGACAGGTTCATCGTTAGGACTGGGCGGCGGTCCCTCCGGTATTGGTGGTGCATTTCTAGTCCTCTCAGCATCCCTCGCTTCGTAGCTTTTAGCCAGGATTTCAGCCTGTTCCTTAGCTGTGAGCAGTTCATTCCCCGACGTCAGGTGGACAGTCCTCTCCTTGTTAACGAAAGTCCTGATCAGTCTCCAGAACTTGCGATGGTCATCATGAGTCCTTCGGAGCTGGTCATGCCAAAGTGAAGTTTTCCAGTCACGCATGAGACTAGCTATCTGCCGGGTCATCGCATTGATGGCCGGTTTTAAGCTGTGATCATGCGTTCGCTGTAAGATGTTTCTGAGGTTGTTTCTTTAACTGATAAGGGCGAGGAAGTGACGTGGTGGTTTCCTGAAGATGTTGGGCTGTGGGGCGAACTTCAGGATGTGCTGGTTGGCTGAATCCTGGACATTGGTGATGATAGGATCCACCGCCTCGTTCACTTCCTCTGCTGTCCGGCACGGCGTTACCGCCGGCAATCTGGCTTCAACGCAGGACCTGTTTCCTTTCCAGTCGGTCTTATGGAGTAAGTATTTACTCGCCGGTGGTGTGGCGGGTGTGCCCTCGATAGTGTAAAGCACAGGCCGGTGATCCGACGGTCCATAAGGGAGCGCTTGGTAATCCGTGATGGAGTGCAGATCCCTGGTTAGTAGGAAGTCCAGCGTTGAAGTCCAATCAGGTCGGGCTGAATGCCGGAACGTGTGCACACCAGGGTGGAAGACGGCCAACCTAGTCCTGATTATGTACCTCTCCAGTGGGTTGTCTCTACCACACAGCCAGGAAGAGTGCCGAGCATTGAAGTCCCCGAGGACTATATGCCGACTCGTCGCCTGGGCGTGTTGTAGCAGCAACTTGACAAATGTCAGTATTGCCCTAGGTCTCCTATAGATACAGGTGAACGTGAATCGACTCTTAAGTCTCACGTCAACTGTGACTAAGTGAGTTCCGTTGGTTGGTTCCACTGGGTTCTGGACAGCTCTAGGCGGTACATCTCTTCTGACCAGGATGGCTACGCCCTCACAAGATCTTGGTGCACACACCTCCCGGTACACAGTATACCCCTGAAAGTACAGACGAGTAGAGGTGTGAAGCAAGGTTTCAGTCAGCGCCACCACTGTAGGTCTATGCTGCTGGAGGAGAAGCTCGAGTTCGGCCTGCTTCTGGAGGAGGCCTCGGGTGTTAAAATTCATGATGAGGTGGTCAATCATGATTCTTCTTCGAGATGGCATCGAGCATGTCGAGGACTAGATCCATCAGCGTGTCCATCCTTGTTAGCAGAGATAACACCAGTGTAGTCAGGGAGGCATCTGCAGTTGTTGAAGGCTGAGCCGATAGTGGTGCGGGAGTATGCTGGTTAGTAGAGTGGTGGTGGGAGTTGCTCTGGTGGTGGGGATGTGACTGGTGGTGGGGAAGAGTGGGCTCTCCTGATTGGGCCGGCGCTCCTCCGCTAGCTGTACTGTATTGAAGGCCCTCCTGGACCTTCCTGGATTGCCTCTTAGGTAGTGTAGTTTCGGCAGCTTCTTTTCTTCTTCTCACTAGTTCTTGCCGCTTCGGGCAGTCTCTTGCGGAAGTCAGGTGGGCACCTTGACAGTTTCCACAGACAGGTGGTGCTGATTTCGGGCACTGTTGTAATAGGTGTGTATCATGGGCATGAGCAGGTCCTGCCACAATATTTCATAGTGTGCCCAAACTGTTGACAGTTTCAGCACTGTGCAGGGGATGCCTCCTCCTTAAAGATGCTGGCACGAAATCTGACTTGCGATATGTGCTGGAGTTGTTGGAAGTCAGCAAGCCGGACGCTATCACCAGTAATAACCTGGATTAGCTCCGTCAGTCTTGGGGCCTCACCCTCAGCGACCCTTTTTGTTAGCCTCCGTGCTAGTCTGAAGCCTTTCAGTCGGGCCTTTAATTCAGCCGAGATTTCACTCACCGGGAAATCGATGTCGAATCCGTATAGAACGTATTTCCGCGATCTCCTCGTTCCCCTGGGTGCAAAGCTGTGGAATTGAACCCTATCATCTTCTCGCAGTAGAAGAGTTGTCTTCATGTGATTCTCGTCACTGACCAAGTATAACCGGGTCTCCTTTGCTGAGGAGTTCACGGTAAATCTATTAATCCCGTGTTGGCGCATTATGTCCCTCATAGCTGCCTGGGCTATCGGGGGAGCGATGATGATGGGTGGCGGTAATTTTGGTTCCGCTGTATGGTTCCTGAGGGCAGTGAATCGGTTGGAAACGGGTGTCGGCTTCGGTTGCTGGCAGGTAGCTCGTGCGGGGAATCGGAGGCGCTTCGGTACCTCGGTGAAGCCCTCATTATCTACTACACGGTCCTGTTGTTCTCCATTGCTGCTCTCACCACCGCTGTCTTCACTTTCTTCAGAGTTCATGACAGGTTGCGGTGAAACGGACATTGTCTATAGGTAGCGTCGGGCTGGGGGAGTGGTCATGTCAGCGCAACGCTGCCCTCACTCAAAGAGTAGCCGTCAAGGTTTGGCCCAAGGGATAAGTTTGGCCTTGACAGCTTTAAAGGGCGCAAGCTAAGCAAGAGTCTTCAGTTCCAGTAGAGAGGGTTCTTGAGGAGGTCCTTCTTCTTTTTTTTTTTTTTTTTTTTTTCTTTTTTTTCTTACCCTCCATAAGGAAACCATACAATTAACTGTATATGTATACACATAAGTATACATATACTCAGAGTATGCTTACCTTTTTTTACCCGAAGGTATTCTAAGGTGTAATTTGGCTAAGTGTGCTGAACACACTTTATACACTTGTGGCCAGTGGCCTTAATTTTAATATTGAGCAGGGAGGGACAGCTCAGCAGGTTTATTTTATTTATTTACAAATATACAATACAAATATTTACAATATATACATTTGGATCTGGACTCAAGGGTCCAGACCACATCCTTCGGCGAATATGTCCACCAAAGGGAGTTTACCCTGCCATCTTCCTGGTCTGGTTGGTGGTGAAATAACATCAAATAGTGGGTTGGCACAGGCCTTCAGCCCATCAAAGAATTTGATGTGCCTCCGGCTTATGAACTCAGGTACCGAGGGGAGCTGGAGCTCCTCTCGTATACTTTTATTCTTAGCCCTTTGCAGGGTGGTGCCCCGGACAATTCGTCGAAGGATAGAATTCTGGAAGCCCTGTAGTCTCTTGAGTGTAGAGTTGTATAGGTAGCGCAGGAGAGGGGCCCCGTGAAGCATGGTGGGTCTTATAATGGCTTTATAGATTTGAGAGCTGCGGCGAATTCAGTAGATGGTAGAGGCGATGGGATTTTTGCCGTGCCAGCTTGATCCTCTGCCTGACGTGACTGGAAAAGGTTAAATGCCTATCCATTGTGACGCCGAGGTAGACGATTGAAGTGGAGATTTTCTGGTCAACTCCTCCGACGGTGAAGTTGTTGGGCAGTGGCTTCTTTCCCTTCTTTTCTTCTTCTGCTGCTGGCTGGAGGATTTGTGTGTGTGGGTGCCTGCCCTTTTTTTTTTTTTTTCCGATCCCTCTGAAACAAAACAAATCATGATATGGTATGCCCATGATATGCCCTAGGGACCAGGCTCATATTTTAAACTAGTAACCAGCCCTCAGACCTGTTTTCAGGTTAGTGAGAGGCAACACTAGTAACAATTATTTTAATTAGGCCCTGAGATCTTTAAGTCCAAACTCCTTTTATTTTTATTTAATTATAGTTCATGAATACTTATTTTAAAAATATTACAAACATTAGTTATTTACAAAAGCAGTAATTACATAAGAAAATAATAAATAGCTTCAAAATGAAATATATAGTTCACTGGGCAACTAATAGGTTGCGCTAACAAAATTATTAATCATTATTAGAACATCAATGACTTGCATTAATGAATGAAATAGTTCATTAGAACAACGCCTAGAGGGCGCCACGCTTATCCTCCAATACACCCTACCACTAGTTATTTACTACTCAACCTTTAACAGAGAAGGACCTCCTCTCCAACAGTGTCCGTTAGCTCTAATACATCATACCTTTTAATCCTTATCGCTAGTTAAATGTTATTATTGTTTTTATAATTTCTAATTAAGTCACAACTAAAATTAATAAAATACATTGCAATAAATTGAATTTATAAATATATTACATATAAATGCATCTTTTCACACTGTTCAAAAAATAATAAAAGAACAAAACATGAACATGAGTTCTGTTAACAATTACAATTTATAAAGTCCCTAATAAAATATGTTACAGTACCTATATATATATTTTATTTCTTTATTATTAAATGTGCACCTGTAATAAATACTTTACAATATTATTAAATATAATAGTTCTAATGACTAAATAGTTATGTCAGGCAGTATGAAGATATGTGCACAATATTTAAATAAAATATGCTTTATTTTTGACAAAAGAATGGAATATATTTAATTAAAAATAAAAACATAATAAATTCATGCAGAAAAAAATTTTTCCTAATAAAAGATTCTAAAGAATTTTGTAACAATTTTATAGCTAAGTTTAACATACACAATATATATATATATATATATATATATATATATATATATATATATATATTTTTTTTTTTTTTTCTGTTTGCATTACAAGCCATGTAGATCTTTTGCCAACTTAAGAAATCTGCTCCATCTCTGCCTGTCTTGGGCCATTTTTTTCCATTTATCTGCACACAGTTCTATTGCATCTTTGTTGATTCTATCTATCCATCTGCTTTTTGGCCTTGGACTTGGTTTTTTGCCTTCCATTGAGGCATTCATTGTTATGTAGAGGCTTCCAGATGGATTGCTAGGAGCTACATGCCCTGTTACCTTTATCACCGTGCCTTCATATCATGGGATATTGATTGACCAGTTTCTGTAAGCAGTTATTATTGGCCTTTATTCTCCATGTATTAATACTCTGATACTATATATATAAAACAAAAATAGCTTAGAAAAAATTGAACTTTTAACTTAATTAGTTTGAAATGAAATGAAAATAAGGAGGATGTTATCGACATATTATAATAATTAATTTCAGTGCTGAAAAAGATTTTTGACTTTATAAAAACAAACATTTATTAGCATTGTTGTAAACATATTTACATCAAAACAAATTATTTAACAACTTCAATAAAATCTCAACTAAAGTAAGTAGCTAACAGGTAAATATTTATGTAAATATTTTTTATACATATCTTATACAATTAAGCATTGGATTGATATTAGTTACTGGACAATAAAATATATATTAAATATTTGCCTATATATATTTTATTCCTTCAATGCCAGATTTATCCCTGTAATAAATACTTTACAATATGTTTAACTATAATAATTTAATAACTGTTTAAGTATATCAAGTACTATGCAGATATGTATACATTTTTTAACATATGCTTTTTTGAAACAAAATATGCCTTATAACTGACGAAGTAATGAAATGTATATAATATCAAAATATATAAATTTTTTAGCTTTTTTTTCATATCACCAATTCACAATAATTTTAATGATGTGAATTCTTCTTTTTTGCTGGAAATTTAAGTTTTGAAGATGGGAATAATTTTCCTAGAATGTCAACTTGACATGTAATTCAACAAATAAACCAATTGTATACCTTGAAGTTTTTATTGCCAAAAATAAAGAAGTTTAATAATGTGAATTGTTACAGTTTGCTGCTTTTAATGATTTTTTTCTGTAACTGTATTACATTTTAAATCTTCTAACAGCTTATGAGAATATATTTTAAATAAAACAAAAGTACCTTGAAAGGTAATGAAACATTAAATGAATATTCCAATTGATGTAAAACACTTCAAATTAGTATACAACCAAATGACATAGATATAATAATTAATTTGTATCAGATACAAAAGTATCAGATACAAAAAAGTACCCGTATCAGTTGTATCTAGATACAAAAATTCCAGTATCAACCCATCCCTAGTGGTAGGGTGTATTGGAGCCTACAATTTGGAGGATGTGGGTGGCGCCCTCTAGGCTTTGTTCTAAAGAACTATGTCATTCATTAATGCAAGTCATTGTTTGTTCTATAATGATTAATAATCTTAGTAGCGCAACCTGTTAGTTGCTCAGTGAACTATGTATTTCATTTTAAACCTATTTATTATTTCTTTTTGTAATTATTCATTTTGTAAACAACTAATGTTTGTAATATTTTTAAAATGAGTATTTATGAACTATAATTAAATAAAAATAAAAGGAGTTTGGACTTAGAGATCTCAGGGCCTAATTAAAATAATTGTTACTAGTGTTGCCTCTCACTGACCTGAAAACAGATCTGAGGGCTGGTTATATAAAGATCTCTACCTCAATCCTCTACCTCGCATCACACTTCAGCTCCAGCCTTCGAACAGTGAAGACCTAAGAAGAAGACATCAGAAGAAGTTTTTCCAGAAGAAGCTTTTCCGCTTGCTCAGATTTGCACCCTAAAGCTGTCAAGACCCATGCTTATCTCTTGGGCTCACCCTTGACAGCAACCCTTAGAGGTACGGGTAGCGTGGCTCTGGCAAGTGCTGCCATCAGGAACACTGTTGTTAGTGCGTGCGTTGACCGGACCCACCATCCGGTGCAAGAGGCATCAACAAATCCGGTAAGTCACACCCAATACAATTCAGTTCGACTCAGTGATATAGCGCGTTCGTGTCAGTGATAGTGTTTAGAATCAGTGCCGGTTATTTAAACCTTTAGAGACGCTAATAAAGACAGTACTAATGGAAGGTTTAAATGTTCCACTTCCACCCGAGCAGGAAGAAGAGGTTGCTCAATCTCTTCAAAAACCCAAGAAGGTCTCAAAGAGGAAAGTAAGAGCACCGATAAAGAAAACGGTTGAAGTTAAAAACCAGTTTCAACCGCTAGCCGAGATGCAAACAGAAGAAAATATGGCTACAACAGCCGCGACTACATCTTCAGCCGCAGCATCCACACCCAGTGCAACCCCCATCACCCAAGAAACTAAAATACCGCCTGTAGTCATGGACAGGGAAAAGTTCACTCTACAACAGGTTAGAAGTTTCCTAGATAAAATTAAAATTAATGAATACTATCTCCGATTAAACAGAACGGAGATTCTCATATATTTAGAAAGACCGGCAGACCGACCAATACTCCTACAGCATTTTAATTACTGTGGAATTGGTCACCACTCATATGCTCCCCGCAAGACATCAAAAATGCAAAATAAATATGTCATAAAAAACCTTGACATATCTATCCCCATAACTGATGTGAGCGAGGCATTCAAGACAGTTCAGGCCACGGACGTCAGACGCCTACAAAAAACTGATCCAGAGGGCAGAAAAACCGATTTAATGCCCATTGTCATCACAGTACCAAAAGGAACAACCGTAAAGCATATACAGGACACGGTAAAACATGTTAATAGATGCAAGTTTACCGTAGTAAACTACATACAAAGAAAGGAAATACTCCCACCTCAGTGCTACAAATGTCAGCAATTCGGGCATACTCGAAATTACTGCGGACACAAAGCAAAATGCGTACGCTGCGGGGGAGAACACGAAATATCCCAATGTGAGCGACAGGGCGTGCCGAAGTGCACGAATTGCGGCGGAGCACACGTCGCATCTTACAGACAATGCCCTCACCGCAAACAGCTAGAGGAATTAGCGGAAAAGAAGAAAGAGGAGAAAGCCGCCGCTAAGACTAAAACTCAAGTAATAAAAAACAGCGCAAAAATTCGCCAGGGCACGGATTTTGCGTCATTACTGAAGCCGTCCCCACCACCTACCACCAATAGGGCGGAGCCAGAGCAGACTAGTCATCCCTCCCATCTCCCACCAACTACAGAAGAGGCTGCGCATGCGCAACATCAGACCTTACCCACACCACCTTCAACTGACCAATCACAGCTCATGGTCACGCTGGTGGGGCAGATGGGCACCATGCTCACCCAGTTCACCATTCTGATGCGGGAGATGACAGCGGCATTAAGGGACATCAAGAACCAGGGCTCCAGCAAATGAACAGCTTCACCCTGCTTAACTACAACTGCCGCAGCCTCGTCTCGAAGAAAGATGAAATAGAGATGCTCTTGGCAATAACGCAGCCTTCTGTCGCAGTCTTCACAGACACTAGACTCCAAGGACCACCGCCCTACCTACGTGGGTACGGCGTAGCCATGGACAACCAGCACGACCCACATGGAGGTGTTCTCATAGCGGTGAGGCATGGCGTAACGTGGAAGAAAATGCCTCCTCCTATGAACACTCAAGACGCCCGAATAAGCCATGTGACTGTCCAAGTGCTCATGGGCCAACCCACCTACATCACAGGCATCTACCGGCGCCCAAGGGGGTCGCTAAGAGAGCTACGGCTACTAGTAGACACCTGTGGGGTGAAAACTAACCATTGGCTCATAGGAGACTTGAATGCAAGACACAGTTTATGGCATAATATCAGGTCCAACGCAGCTGGGAGACATCTGGTGAAAACCGCTTACACGGTTGTACACCCGTCTACCCACACTTTCCGCCACGATGGAAACGGCTCCACATCCACCATCGACCTACTGCTCACCAGACAGCCCCATCGTATCACAGGTTGCACTGTCACCGATTTTATCACGTCAGACCACCGCCCGGTGGTATATGAAGTCCAGGGAAGAAAACCGGTAACAGCGCAAAAGAAATTCAATTACCAGGAGGCAGATTGGAGTCGTTACAAAGAAGAAATATGTCATAGACTGCAGTCCATTCAACCGCTGAAAACTAAAGAGGAGATAAATACATACATTATTTTCCTCACTACAGTCATAATGGAGTCTGCGCAGAAGGCTATCCCCACCTACCATCCACAACCACCCCACCTACAGTCACCCCCACCACACGTCATGGCACTCATAAAGAGCAGGCGCACCTTGAAGAACAGCCGCAACGCAACATCCCAGTACCAGCCCAGCCTCCAAGGACTTCAGAAGCAACATTAGCCTCACTGGTAACACCGCCAACAACAACAACAACCC